AAGAAGAAGAAGAAAGAAGAAGAAGAAAGAAGAAGAAGAAGAAAGAAGAAGAAGAAAGAAGAAGAAGAAAGAAAGAAGAAGAAAGAAGAAGAAGAAAGAAGAAGAAGAAAGAAGAAAAGAAAGAATAAAAAAAAGATGTTTTCTTGCATGAGAGAGGTGGCAGGACTGAAGGGAAGGTGACAGCGAGAGGAAGTCACACAAGCTTTCCCCCCTGTGAAGTTGCACTCCGTTGTACCTGCACAGCAAAAATCACACAAAAAGTGAGTGTTCCCTGAACTCACCCAGCCCCAAATTTCCTGTGCTGGGACCGGGCAGGACACGCCTCGTGCTCTCAGGTGATTTGTTCAAAGGCAGTTCTCTGGGTGCGCTTCTCCTGGCGTAACGTCAGTAAGACGGTGACAAAGCCACTGCCAAGTGTTTTGCCTTTTCCCAGTGCTGCCCCGAAGACCAGCGGGATGCTCTCCTCCTTCGGGGACCAGCCCTTGACGACACGAGCCCCTCGTCAAGTAGAGATAGGATGGGTGCAGAAATATCACTGGCATCTCATTATTTAGAGGCAGTTGGACAAAAACTCCTTTGTGGGCTCGGTTCAACTGTATCCGTCAGAAAAAACTGTTCAGAAAAGATGTTGGGTTTATGTTACGGATAAAAAAAATCGACGACTCAAAACATTTTCTCCTGTAGGAAAATGTAACCTGGCCCTGGCTATGAACGCAGGAGCTTCGGTCTCGTGGAGATGGTGCGTTTGTGACTCTGTCACGGGAGCAGGGTGTTAGTGTGTGCCCTGGCAGCATCTTCTCAGGGTTGGGGGATGAGAGAACAAGCGGTGCCGCCTATGCTCGAACAGCTGCACCGCGAGACAAGACGAGAGCGTGACCCCGTTCCTATCAGCATAGGGATCACCCTCGTATAAAGACCTTTTCTTTCAACTGCAGTTGATTTTTGTTCTTCCCATGGTGCCAAACTGGGTGAGACGCAGTGAAAAACCGTACCTCAAACTTACCAAATCCGCTTGAGGCGAAGGCAGGGTTGTGCTGACGGTGTCTCTTCTCCCCTGTAAGCTCTGCCTCCTCCCCGGAAGGTCTCCGCCGTAGCCATGGGAAACGGCAGCATCCTCGTGAGCTGGGACGCGCCCGTGGCCTCGGCTGCGTCCCTCAGCGGGTACGTGGTGGAGTGGGCAGACACCCCCAGGAGCTCGTGCCCCCAGCCCTGCCCCGCCTGGGTGAAGCTTCCAGCATCCAACCTGTCCGCGGTGATAGCAGGTAACTACCACCTCCTGGCAGGGGATGGCTGGGGTACCGTCTTGCTTCGAAAGCTGTCCAAGGAATAAATCAGATTCTAATTTTTATTAATCCAGCGTAAGAAATCCTTGCTGTATGGGAGGGGAAAAAAAAAAAAATCTGTGGTTGCTTTGGGCTCAGCTGTGCGGTCGCTCTCAGCTGAGATGTGTATCTGATAAGTAAAATGTCCCTGAAAAAACCCAGTCCTTCCACAATGAAACAAGCCAGCTAGAGGTATAAGAGACCAAAGGCTTAAGAAAAGACTATTTTCTTTCTCCCAGTTGCTGGTTACTAACCCCAACCAGCACTACGTGTCGGTGTTCTGGGCAGCTCTGAAGGTACAACAGGGTGACAGCGAGTATTACCCTCGCTAGTCTCGGTTGTCCCTGCCCTGGCGCTGTGCCTCCGAAGCGCTCGCATCCCCACTCTTGAAGGAGCCGGGAAAAGCAGGGAGCTCACGCCACCGCTCCGTGCTCTGCTTCCGAAAGGAGCGAAGCGAGCTCCTGTCGCCCTCCCGCAGGAGGCCGCTCCGTGAAGCCACGGAGGAGAAAATAAAAGGGTGTGAGATTCTCGCGCCCGCTAAAGCGACCTCGTGCGCGGGCAAACCCCGGCACCTCAGATCTGGGGCGATAAGCTGGTAACAGCTACTCACCCTTTACCTGGGGCACTCGACGTGGTGCAGGGTTTCCTGCGGGGGGTACAGGGCTGCCGGCAGCTGTTGCTTCACCAGGAAACAAAGGACTTCGCCCTTGAGGAGCGGGACCGTCACTTGCTTAAGGCACAGTAAGGTTCTGCCAAGCTCAGCAGGAGATCCCGGAGAAGATTTATTTTTTTTTTCCTGCTTTATGAAAGATGCGTCGATAATCAGAAGATTCATCTGAGCTTTAAGCAGCTGATGTAGATACTTTAGCCACGACTAAATATTTTAACTAGTGACGTCCCCCTTTTAATTTCCTTATTTAGAACACATCAAAGATGATGTGTGCTATCAGATCAGCGTGTTCGCACTCTACCGGGACAGAGCCGGACAAGCAGCATCAGTCAGGGGATACTCAAGAGCAAAAGGTAAATCACTATAACACTCCTCTGGATGTCTTCAAGCTAGCTTAAGTTCAGCTTTAAAAGCCAATCTTCTGTTTTGCAGCACCATCAGCTGGGCCACGGACGTACACGACACCGTGGGCCGACGGCATCTTGGTGTCATGGGAAGCAATCCCTGCCCCCCAGCAAAGGGGCTGCATCACAGGGTACCGGATATACCTGCAGAAAAACGACGGGCGGGCAGCCCCACGGGTCTACGGTAGGTATCTGGCGAAGGCCAACGTGATGTGCGAGGGACTGAGGAGGAGGAGGAGGAGGGAAGGTGCCTTCGGAAAGCTCTGTGCAGCCGGTCTGCCGCGAGGGCGAGCAGCAAGAGTCAGCCAGCTCCCTCTGCTACAGCTGCCCCTCAACAGGCCCAAGGATTCAGGGCACGCAGCTTGGAGTTAACACCACTCTAAGTTATTCTGAGAACGGAACTATCCGGTTTCTCCCTGCCTTTTTTTTTTTTTTTTTTAATTAATATTATTTTCTTAAGACATAACCGATGCAAACCCGTGTAATTATTGGCAGGGTAATCTAACAGACTTTCAAAACAGAATATAAAAATAACAGCATTTCTAAAAGTCCTATCCAACAAATCCATGCTCTTATATATGTCTGTATATATATATATGTCCTTATATCGTGAGATGCTCGGCAGGCAGCACCCACTGCATCCCCACACCCCTGTGCTTTTCCCATCTAAGCCCTCTCCCGCTCCACCTGCCCAACTCCCAGGCTTTCACCCAAGAAACGGGTTTTTTCTTAACTTTATTCAGAAGTTGCACCACAGTTTTTTACTGGGTGTTCCCTAGTTCCACCATACAAACCTCAGTTTAGAGTGAAACATCAGCTTATCAGGCAACAGCCGTCAGGGGACAGGGGACACAATCCTGGGTGTCCAGTCTGTACAGTGGCACGGGTCATCCCTACAACCTTCCAAAACAAGATCTTTCACAACCCTTCCAATGATTTAATAACATCAAAAATTAAATTAATTAACGTAAATGGGTACCTCTCCACGCTCCAAGCTCTGGAAACCCAGTTCATTGGAGTTCAGTGGGGTAAAAACATCTGCTAGGGGCTTCACTTGCTTCTCCCCGTTTCCCTCCAGCCGTTTCCAACGCGAGCGCCCCGCGGTCGCTGCACATCGCGGAGCTGCAGCCCGGCCAGCCCTACACCCTGTGGATGACAGCGTCGACGGCTGCCGGAGAGGGGCCGCGGGGCAACACCCAACTCCTCTGCTTGGAAAGTACGAGTCTGCCGGGGAGGGGGGTCGGGAGAGGGGCTAACGCTTGGCCCCGTTTTCTACAGACTAGGAATGCTTTTCCCACTACTCAACTACTGAAAAATCTCTAGTTTGGGCTGGTTTTAAGATGTAGCGTCTCGCTGTCGGCATAGCTCCCAGCTCCGTGCCAAGCTGTATCATTTAAGAGGAGCTGCAGCCAGCAGGAGGGTTTATTGAGAAGGGGAAAGAAGGGTTTGGTGCCTTCGAGTTGCTGGCCGAAATATTGGTGTGCTTCAAGCTCTGACTTCAGCTCTTGCTGAGCTCCGCGTCTCCCAGGGGTCGGGGGCTCTCTGAGGACCCGTGACCTCGGAGCTGTCTTGGGGAGCAGGGCAGGGCCCCTGTTCTTCTGCCACCCAGGGGATGCTGAAACAAAACCTTCTCCCACCGACTTCTGATTTGTGCTTAAGCCTTGCCAGAAAGTTCGTGTCGCTGCGCTCCCTCCCCAGCAACGTGCCACAACAACTTCAAGCTCCCAAGTCGCTCACGTTGGGAAATTCCTCTCCGCAGCGTGGGAGCAGGTTTCTCCCACGGGCCGCAGGAGAAATCCAGGGAAGTGGGCAGGAGAAGAAATCAAAGCAATCCAGGCAAATTAAAAGTTTTCCTGGCATAAAACCTGGATTTACAACGTTCACTGAGAAAGTTTGGTCACTGACAATTTATTAAAGACTCACTGTAAGATCTTTTCTACTTAACACCTCCCTGCTGCATGCACCACCCCAAGTTTACACCCTCTGTCAACGTTTGGTTCAGTACTGGACGGGAGACCAGTAGTTGTGCGTTTTGGGTTGTGGACTGCGTATCTCAAGAGACGTTGGTAGTCATCTTCGTGTTACAAAGTACTGTTGGCCCCAGCAGTCCATCCAGATTAATGATTTTGAACCAAAAAAAAAAAATTAAAAAAAATTGGTATGTTTTATGAGTGCAAACGCTAGTCAGGCCACGACTGTTGTCCGAGTTGAGCTGACATATCTGAATTTTCAGGGTTTTTTAATAAAGATGAATGATGGGTGTTCTGTATTTCAGGTGCCGGGCACTGGATGGCTGCTGTGCTTACCTGCAGCTTCTTGATCATCTTGGCCTGCATGTGTTACATCCCTCCAGCAAGAAAACTGTGAGTGGATCCAGCTGCTGCATCCCAGGAAATCATAGAATTGTTAGAAGGGACGGTCCTGTCCTTGCAGGACACCTTGGGGAACAGCAAAGATTGCTCTGAGTAAAGGGCTCAGAGCACATGAATAAGAACACACACTGAGCTGAAAATACAGCCTTAGTTCATATATAGTGGGAAATACAGAGCTTCCACCGAAAAAAAAAAAAAAGAGGAGCAACATACACATTCCCAGGCTGGATTTTCCAGGGCTGGGGCTCAGGGCTGTATCCAGGCAGCTCTGCCTGCATCGCTGCTGGCAAACGGGGCAGGGGCTGGCAGGAGGAGGATGCTGCGCAGCATCTCCCCCTGCCCCAGCGCTACCCTGCAGCGTGGACGTGCTCCCCGCCCAGCCGGGCTCTCACAGGGCCCCGCTAAAGCGGATTCAGGGTTACACCGAGCAGGTCGGTAGCCACAGGCACGAAGAGCACCTCCCAGCAGCACAGGTATCGAGCTTTTAATTGCACTTATTCAATCTGCAGATTATACTCCCTCCTCTCCGTGCTTGTGCCACAGTGGCAGAGCAAAGCCATTCCAGACCCAGCTAACGCTACGTGGGCTAAGAACTACCTGTCTATGAAGGTAAATTTTTTTTTTTTTTTAATTTATTTCTAATCCCACCACCTTCAGAAGAAAAAGAGATTGGAGCCATGCAAGTCAGTAATCTCTTAATGCAGCAAAACCTGCCGTCTCTGATGGCGGATAAATTCTGTTCTCATGTGGTGTTAAACTGTTGAAGGCTGGCAGGGCTCAAGGCCAGGTTGGACGGAGCTTTGGGCACCCTGGGCTGGTGGGAGGTGGCCCTGTCCGGGGCAGGGGGGTGGGACTTGATCTTTAAGGTCCCTTCCCACCCACGCCATGCTGTGGATGGGGCAAATTAAATACAAGAACAATGTGAAAATTTGTCATCTTTAGCCTATGAGCTGCTGTGTGGAGGGCCACTCGCACTGGGGGGTGAGGCCACAGGCTACCCCTCACGTCATGAATCATTGCTCCACAGGCAGAGCTGAGCTTGCCCCCCAGCCTGTTCCTGCACAGCGCCGGCAGCTTTGAAGAGCCCGAAACAACACAAGTAGAGGAAACCTTGGTGAAAGGCGAGCCCCCGGCCCTGCGGGACAAGCTCCTCTTGGGCAGCGGGGGAAACGGCGACTGGCCGCCGGCGAGCGGCCCGGGGCAGGAGGAGCCGGGCTACAAGGCTCTGCCCAGCCCGGCCGACGGGGAGGTTTACGAGCAGCAGCTTCCCGACCTCTACAAGAGGATAGGGGTGGAGGAGCACACGCAGACCGTTTCGGAGTATATCACCAACCCCATCGCCGACACGGCCGCCACGCGCCCACCCCCGGCCACCGGCGCCACCGGCCTCCCTGAGCTCGAGTGCAGCCCGCTCGCCGGCTTCCCAACCACCTTTCTGACTCCCATCCTTTCCTGCGAAGGGAATCTCACTCTGGATAGGGTGAAAATAAACTGCAGCTCTTTCACGATGTAGGCGGTCAGCGGGACATAAGCCTGGCCTGATTTTTTCCGCACTTTACTGAAGTGTTTCAGTGTGTTTTCAGGACAGCCAGTCCAGTAACTTACAGGTCACACCTTTAAGCAACAAGAAAACCCAACTCACAAACTTTTCCAGCGCCGCAAGTCGCACCTCGCTGTACAGTACAGCAGCTCCTCACCCACCTCACACTCTCAGGTAGAATCACAGATGCTTGGGAATGCCAGGGCTGCCTGACCTGGTTTTTAAGAAAGGTTAATTAATTAGTCAAGATACCTTCATGCAGCCTAGACTGTCTCAGGCCCCTGTCCCACCACCTCACCAAGAGTGGTTGAGCCTGCCTTGGTCCAGCCCAGGACTCAGAGCTGTGCCAACCATAATTTCCACCGTCACTCACTGAGGAAGAGCGAGAAGTTACGGCGCAGTCAGTCCTCAGCCCCTCGGGGCCCCGCTGCACCAGGTCAGCGATGCAGCACAGCCCCGTCTGCAGCCACCGGTGCTAAACTGAAACGCCCGTGGGCATTATTCCTCTGCACTAAGTCACCGTGTCCCCAGTGCGGTGGGTACGGAGGGACAGGGCGGCAGCAGGGCTGGCAGCTCTGCCAGGGCCAGCCTGCCTGCACGGCTCGGGCAAGGAGAAATCCTCACCAGAAAGAAAAGCAACAGGCAGGGAGGCAAATTGTCTGGTGAGAAGAATTTAAATCATTTATTGAAGTATTCTAATTACAGGTTTGAAATCTTACACGTTTAATGACTTTACTATATATGTGTGTGTGTGTGTGTATATATATATATATATATATATATACACACATACACAAAGTGTTGGAAACATGAAATTTGTTTCCTGTTGTTTCCCTCCGGCCAAGCTCAAGCGCTACGCTGCAGCTACCCACAGAATAAAGTGTCTTTAAAAATAAAGCTGAAACGTTGCTGCTAAAGTGTAAATCCAGATCTGAACTTACCGGGAGCATCCTCCTGCCCAGCCCCAGGCGGCCGCTGCCCATCGCAGCCAGCTGCATGAGGTGGTGATGAACCCTCCTGAGATACCGTCCTCTGGCAGCACCTCCGTCCTCTGGCACCTCCACCGAGAGCTGCTCCCCGACCCGGCGAGGAAACAGCCCCCCTGCAACCGTCTCCTTCCACAGCAGCGACAGAGGCACCTGCAGCCCAAGGCCACGGCTTCCCCCACCGCCTTCCGCTTGAAAAGCAAATCCAAAGTGCCACGTTAGGGAGATCTCTGCTGGCTTTTTTCCCCGTTTTTATCCCAGATGCGGCCGTTCTAACCCTCTGCAGGAGGCCCACACACAAGCTGTGGGGCACTGCAGGACACGTGTGGCCGTTAAAAACCCGCAGCCTTCCCGGCGGGCGCCGCAGGCTGGGCTCGTTCGCATCACCCGGAGTGCCGAGTGCTGGACCTCCAGCCGCATGGTGAAAACCCCTCTGCAATAGGCAGGAGTACATGAAGAGAGTTGTGTGCACATTAAGCTTTTTTTTTTTTTTTTTAGGAATGTGAAATTCAAGCCCCAGCACCAGCTCTTCCCGTTTGGCTTCCAGCAACTTCTCTGCAATACCCAGAGCGTTTCCCTTTGATCCGCACAAGCGACGGCAAGTACCCAGCTATTCTCAAAGCCTTACCTCTCCAGTCTTCTCCTGCGTACTGAAAACAAAATAAAACCATCAGCAATGATGTAGCTGTTCTCACACAGCTACGTGTATTTTTAGAAGGGAGATGTGCCTGGTAAAGGCGGAGCAGCTCAGCTGAGGATCCAGCGCACCGCTCGCTGTCAGCTCCCACCAGAAACATCCAGAAAACAGAGCCTGCAAGTGAAGCCGTGGCCCCGACAGCACATGATCTTCCTCCTGAAAGCAGCTTCTTGGGGATAAGGAAACGGAGAGGGGCTGAAGACTGCCCAGGAAACCGCTTCCCCAGAGTGGAGGGAAAACGCTGCGAGGAGCCAGACTCCAGGGAGCGGCTGCTGGGACGCACAATTCCGGCTACAGCTCGCTTGACAGCCGCTGCCCCGCCGTCCCGTGCCCATGCCTTGGCTCACCTGCAGCAGGATGCTGCCCACGACCTCGCCCAGACGTGCCAAGGGATCCTTCCTGTATCACAGCTGGCCAAAAAGCTTATTTTTCCTGCCAGGGAACTCAGCGGAGGACGAGAACGCTTACCTGAGCTGCCCAACCGCGGGGCACGAGCTCACCACGCTCACGGCAGAAATCACACACCGAATGAAAAACGATTTCCAGATGCGCCCGGAAACGCAGGGCAGCCTCGGGAGAGAGGTGCAGGTTTCAGATACGTGTGCAGGCTGCCTCAGCGCGGTGCCAGCGCGTGATGTACGCTCCCCCCCCAGCCCGCCTGCAGTAGGGGTGTCGGACCCAGCAGGATTTTGCCATCTGCAGGCTCCCAATAAAACCACGCAGCAGGAGCTCTGCAGTGCAGCCCCTACTCGTGTAGCTCCCACACATTTAGTTTTGAGCTGTATTTGGGGATGGTATTTCAACCCTGGGACTTGTTTGAATCCTCACTGCCTCCTCCAAATGGGCCCAGGACCTCCATGATCGAGGTCACAGGTTGGATGTGGATGTGCTCAGGCATGACAGCAGGGGAAAACGCACTTCCACGTGAAAACAGCTTTTAACGGCGCTCCCCAAGCGATCTGGAGCTGCTGCCCTCTCAGCATCTTCCTCCAAGCCGGAGAGGTAACAGAGATCGGCCGTAAAAAAGGAAATGCTGCACGAAAAAGCACCGAGTTGCAAAGGCCGCCTCATCCCGACGGGCTTCCCTCCTGCCCTGCACCGCTGCCCCGTGAGCGCCACACCACCCGAGGCAGACAACCCTCCAGGCGCTTTCTTAGGAGAAAAAGCAAGTTTTCTCCAAGTCCTCCACACAACAGGAATCCGGCAGTTTGTCCAGTGCAAATCCCAAACACGTGCCAATCCGAACTGCTGAACTGGAAGGCTCTGGGAATCCCGTCTCGGATTTACCTTCACTCTGCTGAGAGCAAGAAGGAGAAAAAAAATAAAGCTCCTCACTTCTGGGTGTTACTACCTTTGTCACAACATCTCAGGGGGTGAAAATCAAAGAACTCGAGCACACTTATCTGTGATTATTGGCACCTCGGGGCAGCAAACAGACACACACCAAAACCAGCCTCAGCTCTCGCCGGCCCTGCAGCACACCCCAATGGCTCACATTTACTATTTTAAAGATGTAATTGCTGCTGAAATACGAGGGGAAAATCCCCACCCTGTAAGCACCTACTTGCTTGCTTGCTTCCAGGCAATGAAGTGACAGCGACAACTCGTCTGCCAGAAACACACGACCCTGGTGGGTTCCGCAGCCCCCACCCAAGGGAGAAAAACCAGCCACGGCCCAGCAACGCAGGGCCAGCCACCAGTGCAAGGAACAAAGCCAAAGCTACTTTCTTAGCCAGTTACACCCTCCTCTCACACCGCCTTTTGTCACTGCTGTCAGTTATCTCACCTGGGAAAATAAAGTACATTAAGACAAATAAAGCACAGACCAGTCTGCCCAAACACAGCCACCGGCCCTGGGAGCTACACAAAACCTCGCAAGATTTTCTTCTGCAAAGCACCAGCTCTGCCATTTCGCTTTTTGGGCCTAGCAGCTGGTTCCAAGGCTGGTACACCGACATCTTCCCTCTATGAGGGCTGCCGTGATGTTGCTCTGGCTTGGGTCTGACATCCAAACCAAGAGAACTCTGGTTTTTTGTGCTCTCTGTGCCATTTTCATGCTCTCCACACACCCAACCTGTCAACCACCCCGGCAATAGGACTGTGGCTGGGCATCACACAAAGCAATACCTCTAGTCAGCTGTATACAACCAAATTAGATACCTATTCCCAAGGAAAGGGATTTTTTTCTTTAAAAAAAGGCAAAAAAGCACTTTTATCATTCCTCTATTTCTGCATACTGACCTTCACAACACACAAACAGAACACTGGAGTGCATTTTCCCCTTGCTCTTCAAAGTCTCTAAATATTAAATTCCCACACAGGGCTTCCCAGAAAACCTTATTCCAACTTGAAGAAGCAGCATCATTAGTACAACCACCACATTTTTTTCACTCCTCTCTGAAAAAATCTCCCAGAAGGAACAAATGAAGTTTTTTTCCCCCCAGTCAGGTTACACACACACACACGCACACACTCCATCCCAGGCAGATTATTACACCCAGCTTTTCTAGCAGAGCACCCAGCCCAGCAGGGACCTGCCAACCGCTGGCCAGGAATACAAAATGAAGGTAGCACGGCCCTTGTAATGATTTTAGAAAAGAAGCAGGTTAGCAAATGCTGGAAGTGTCAGCTTTAGGCATATGTCCTGCGTTTATTAAAACATAGGCGTGGCTATGCAAACCAATCTCCACGGGCAAAGAGTCATTACAGGTAAGAGTGGTCTCAACTCCTCCAACTGCAAACACCGCAGATTCACACCGACTTCTGATGTTTCAGGAGAATTCATGTCCTTTCCCACACAGCTAACACTTGCATTTATTAATCAGGCTCGTTTCCTCCCAGCATCAGCGGCATTCAGTCTGTAAGATGAACTTTCATGCTCAAACCTTGCCATCGTTATTCAAAAAAAAAAAAAAAAAAAAAAAGCCAATTTGCACCACGTGCTTCTCTCTTGTTTTCTCTCCAGCTTTTACTGCTGACCATCTTTTTCAAATTGTTCAGATTTTAGAAGGTCTAGTCCTCTAGATTTGGTGTGACAGCAAAAGTAGCAAGCAAGAGGACAGAAAACGTTCTGCTAAAGAGCAAGCTCGTTAATCGTGAATAAGCTACTCGGGAGACGTTTTCCCGAGGCAAAGTCCGCTCCTGGTGATGGAAACGCCTGGGCGCCATCACCACAGGCAGACTGGACCTCCTGGGGCAGGACCTAGATGAGACACTATTAACCTAAGTGATTTCATCTCCACGTTGTTTTCATGACATTTTTAAAAGAGCATGAAAATAAACCTTTATTTCAGTTAACACCCACCAATATTAAAGATATATGTTCACAGTTTTAGTTCTTGACACAAATGGACTGAAAGAGGCAAATTTACATCTATCAGAACAGCAGACGGACCAATTGTTAAGTACAAGCTGTCTTGAAAATCGTACGTGACGTGCAATTTGGGGAACTCTATGCTCTAAAGCAGGAGAAGGGGAAAGCTTCTGACCAAGTCCAGCTAGCAGGGCCCCAAGCGACTGCCTGGCTGGCCCAGAAGTCATCTGGAAAAAATAGCTGAGCGCCAACCAAAACAGCAAATAGACAGTTTGGATAAGGGGAGGAAGGTTTATGTGACAGAGAAAGCTTTTCCACAAGCGTTTTTCTGCGTATCAAGGCCTTTGCTGAGTTGCATTATCCAAGGTGTCCCTAACGCTGGAACTGCAAACACGCTCAACCAACCGCAACGGGAGAGAGAAGAGGAACAACTCAGTGCTGGACCTGCAAAAGGCCCCCCAACCCCCCCCCCCC